GAGCATCTACGGTGGACCGGCATCTAAAGCGTGCTAGAAAACCCCATGAGGTTTAGATGCACTAGAGATGTAGGGACCACAGGAGAGGGCCCTTGGCCTTCCTGTTTTACCTCTGTGGTGTGACCTTAGAGAAGGGAAAGTTCTTGGTGTGCTACTAATGGAAGTCCTCAAAGCTTTCTGCAAACAAGCTGTTACTACTTGAGGGGAGCCGTGTGCCCTTGACTGCTCGGTACTCGGGTAATATGATCTCCAAGGAAAGGAGAGCAGCCTGTGAAGGAACAGTTGTTACTATGACTGCTAGAAACCAAACCCGAATAAGGGAATAATGGATGTGCGTAGATATGAGTTATGTTAATATGAATGAGTTAATTTCATTTTTCAATAAAAGTTTACATTAAATTTCATCAGGTCAGTGCATTGAGTGCTGAGGATCCCCTTGAAGACCACCTGATCCACCTAATGCACTAATTAACAAGCCTTTCCTGAGTTGAAGTGGGTTTGTTTTGGCAGGAAAACACAAAAATGTACAAGGCAGGGGTTCCTTCAGGACCAGTGTTGGGAACCACTGTTTTAGAAAATCATAATGAGTTCTAACTGTTATGAGGCGAGAAATTTGCACCCCTACACTTTCTGAAAACAATTATGTTAAGGAACACAGTCTACCTTATTCTGTTGCAGTCATATTTTTTGCATTCATTCCTTACAATCTATCTTCACTCCAGGCATTTTATTTTATTTTTCTACTTAGAAACTTAATTTGAACTTTAAAAACGGTACAAATATGCTCTCCTTTGGGAAGGTGAATGTAGTGTACCTTTAAAACTCATTTAAGGTACACTTATGGACCTTGTTGTACCTTTTGAGGACACATTTACATTGTTTGTACCTTGGGGGACTTTACCAATTTTTTGGACTTTTAAAAATTTACCAAGAGAAGTAGCTGTTTTTCTGACAGTGTAAAAACTTTTAAAAGCCTTTCATTTTATTGGCTAGGCCTTCACTGTGCTCTTGCTCAGCAGAAGAAAGTCTTGTTACCAGTAACTTTATATTATGTATGCAACTCTAATCTGCTCTCATGTGTCACTGTGTGTGTGCGGTGTAGGTGCCGAGTGTGCTCAGAGAGCACAGAGAGACTGTTTCCTCACTCAGACAGCTGCAGCTCCCTCTACAGCAGGCAGCTCAGCCAGTACAGCAGCGAATCAGAGGGTAAGACCAGAGGGCAACACCAGCTTCTCACTCTTATGACAACAGCAGCCATTCGAACTCAAGTTGCCATGGCAGTATATTCTGCTAAAAGTGATCCAATATTGTGAGAGAGAAAATCCAGGTTTACTTAACCAAGTTTAGTTAGCTCACTTAGCAAGAAATCCTGAAAAGTTCTTGGAGTCCTGTACATTTAGTCTTTGACTGAATGTGAACAGTTACGTGGAAAGAAAGGTAATGATCCTAGATCAGCACTCTGAAACATGAACATATGGCTCAGATCAAGTTATCTGGAAACATTTTTTTTGATATCATCTTGCTGAGCATGCCAAGCAACAACGCATACTCTTTCATATGTGACCTCAATACATGTAGCGATTGGATAGCATAATGCATAACACCGTTACCCTGTACACGGTGGACTGAAGGTTTGATTTCTCGTCCAGGAAACAAAAAGTCCTTGGGCAATACCCTTTAACGTTCTGTTCAGCTGCCATTGTAAATCTGTATAAGAGAGTCTGCTAAATGCAATGTCTAAGGAGAGCATCATTGAAATAAAGTTTGTTAAAGTTTTAAAGATGAAATTGTCATATGCTGTTCATTGTTTACTCTCACGCTGACAGTTCTATGCATGTTTTCTTCTGCCCATCCTCAGGGGAGTGGATAAGTGTGGAGGGCAGGTTCAGGTGCGTGTCCCTCACCTGTATGTCCAGTTCATGCCCACGGAGCCCTAAGGGCCTCTCCCCCTCGGCACACCTGGCTGATGGAACAGGTGACCTCATCCTGGTGCGGGACACCAACCCCCTGGGTTTCCTCAAGTACCTGCACCGACATACCACTACCCAGGATCAGGTGAGGCCACCAGAGTGTTTATCGTAAGGGCTATAAGGCACACTTTGTAAAACAACTTCAAGCATTCAACTAAAGTTAGTAACTCATTGAATATGGTTATTTTTACCTCATTTAGTTCCACCCCATGATATTCTTATACTGACACTCAAGATCAACCCATGTCAATGGAATCAGCCATGGGGAAAACAAAGTACAAGAAAAATAATGTAACTTTTATTCAACAGCTTGAAGTGTTTCAGGGTGGATTTTCTGGTAAGCCAGAGGATTAAGGGGCCCATATCTTACATTTTTCATGTATTTTACAACACTTGTGTGGTTTAATGTACATGTAAAATTTACATGACCATTTTCAAACCTCTCTTTAGAGTGACTGCTATGTTCTAAGACTTTAATAATGTTTACTTACTTCATCAAATACCTTTTGAAAAAGCAAGGTAAATTTGGTTCTCCACAACATGGGCCTTTTAATGTCTAGAGCCTTTTTGTGGTAAAACTGTCCATGTGGTTTATTTTCATTTATCAGCTGTTTCCCTGCACCTCTCTTCCTTCATGAAATGTACAGCTTGAGTCAGTGGATTTAACACATCGCCATTCATATTAATGACGCAGAGCCCAGATATTCTCACCAGTTGGACAGTCATTTCCTGCATCTGTCCCACTCTCCAGTTACAATCTGGCCAGCTCATTAGTGGAGCAGTGGCACAAGGCAACACTGAAAATATATATAAATATACAAATTTATATAAATATAAAAGGAACAAAAATGAGAAAAATACTAAATTCTTGAAAGATTGAAAAGTATTTGTCTGTTGTTTCCTTTTTTTCTATATAGTTTGACCTGCCATTTGTTGAGGTGCACCGTGTCAAAGCAGTGCGCTTCTCCCTTCCTCCTGAAGAAGGCGATGACTATGAAGATGAGGAAAGAGAACAAAGCATTTCAGAAGGAGTACTGGAAGATCCAGAGAAGCTGCGTGAAAGTGATACTGAATTTTCTAAGGACGGCTCACAGCAGTACCTTGCGGAAAGGCAGAAGGAGCAAGAGATGAAAGCTAAAGGGAAGAAGAAGAGAGAATTTCTCTGTGGGCCCTGCTGCAGTAAACCTCCTGCAGTGTCTGTGTGGAACTGCGATGGAGAGGTTCTGCCATACACTGAGATTTCATGCAGGTAAGTGTCAATAGTACCTACCAATAACAAAGCAAGAACAACTTCTTAATAGTTTTGCAGTTCAACTCTATTGTTGAGCTCTTGAGCCCAAATAAATAAATAAATAGATAAATACATTTTTTATACACACTTAGCAAGCACTTTATTAGGAACACCTGTACACCTTATCATTCATGCAATTATTTAATCAGCCAATCGTGTGGCAGCAGTGCATAAAATCATGCAGATACAAGCAGCTTCAGGTAATGTTCACATCAACCATCATAATGGGGGGTGTTGGAGCCAGACGGGCTGGTTTAAGTATTTCTATAAGTGCTGATCTCTGTGCAGATTTAACGCACAACAGTCACTAGAGTTTAATCAGAATGGTGCAATAAATAAAGAACATCCAGTGTCAGTTCTGAGGATGGAAACGCCTTATTGATGACAGACGTCAATGGAGAACTGGTTCGAGCTAACAGAAAGGCTCTGGTAACTCGGATAACCACTCTGTACACTTGTGATGAGCAGAAAAGCATCTCGGAATGCAAAATACGTTGAACCTTGAGCCAGATGGACTACAACAGCAGAAGACCACATCAAGTTCCACTTCTGTCAGTCAAGAACAGAAAGCTGAGGCTGCATTGGGCAGAGACTCAGCAAAGCTGGACAGTGGTAGACTGGAAAAACATGGCCTAGTCTGCTGAATTCAGTTTCTGCTGAGGCACACAGATGGTAGGGTCAGAATTTGGCACCAACACCATGAATCCATGGACCCAACCTGCCTTGTGTCAACAGTCCAGGCTGGTGGAGGAGGTGTAATGATGTGGGGAATTTATTTATTTATTTTTTTTCCCCTTGGCACATTTTGGGCCTATTAATACCAATCATCACTTGAATGCCACAGTCTGTTTGAGTATTGTTGCTGACCATATGCAAACATGGTATTTACAAATACACACAACTGACTGAACCAGATCTTGATTAACCGGCAGCCCTAGAAATTTGTTTAAGTTAAATTTCTCACTGACTTATGTTACCCATTTATTTTTAGCACTTTGCATCTCCTCATTTGAATGTTTCCCAACTCATGACGGCTGCCATGGCTGCTCTTTTTGTGCTCAGGGTTCGTGGTCAGCTGGTGCGTCTGTTTGCCAGAGGCATCGAGGATGACGGAGGCTCCCAGAAATGCCGTGAAGGAAGCAGGAATTGCAAAGGAAGATGTGTTCTACACACCCAATGAACGTAACAACCATAAATAATGCTTTAATAACAAATGGAATTGCTTATTTAAGTTATAAAATATAAAACAGTAATAAACAAACTGGTCCAAGTTCTCAAATGGTTTAACAGTTTTACCAGTTTCAAAAGAATACTCAGTTTTTCAACCTGATCTCTATCGGTGGCATCTGTAGCACAGTCAGATACGAGACAACACTGACTCAAAACACATTTATACAGTACTGTGCAAAAGTCAGAGGCCACCCTTCATTTAGTTAATTTCCAGTCAATAGCCATTCAGTACAAATTCCAAAACTGGAATTTAAAAAAATGATTGAAAGAGCAAATGGGACTCCTTGCAACCATCCAAGAGCTGCCAGACCGCCAAAACTATCCCCATCAGATAAAAAGTACTTCAAGCTTTTGTCTTTGAGAGAAAATCAAGCTCCATTCTTACTTCAGATCTAAAAAAAAAAATCCACAGGTGTTACTCTCCATCCATCCACTCAACATCACAAGCAATCATTAGGATTACTTGGATGGTGAGGAGCAGAAAATGCAACCAACTTTCAAGACTGAACTTTAGAGGTGTGGGAAAAATATTCCTGCAGATTTCAGCAAAAAAAAGTCTCTTGAAAAGAATGGAAGCTGTAATGAAGGCAAAGGGTGGACAGTAAATACTGCAAAACATATTTAGTTATTTGTTTATTTAGCGTCTCTGTAATTTTCTGTTAAATGGTTTTTGTTTCTTGATGCTGAAAAATTAATACCATGTATTAAATGTCCACTGTGATTGATTGTATGTAAATAAATAAATAGCATGACCTCTGACTTTTACACCACACACTAAATTAATATAACACATGTATATGTGTGCTTCTAATGAACAGTTTTTCTGTTCTTTTTCTAAGTACAGGGAAAATATTGTCCATGCTAATCAACTGCATGATACATATGTGGAAGATAGAGATTAGGTCAAAAAACACGAGTATTCCTTAAACATAAAACTCCACAAACATTACTTGTAAGAAGCCGCTTTTTATTTTTACCATAGAAATCCTCAAAATACAGGTACTGAAAGACCATTTAAGTACATTCCAGACTATTATGTACAACACAGCCAAGCCCATATCATTAACACTGTTGTACACTCAGCACACCCCATTCTACATACTTATTCTTGGAAGTTAAAGATAGCAGACAGACCACTCATTTGTCCTCCGAGCTGAAAGGCAACATTCCCCTGGCTAGGGCATGTACCTGTGAGTGAGTGAGAGTCACAACCAGCAGGTTAAGTGACATGACTGACAGGAGTGAACTCAAAATTCTTAAAAACGTGGCGGCTCGTAGGAATGTGTACGGACGGGACCTGAAGAGGTGTGGAACATAATTAAAACGTTAAATTAAGATTTGAATTCAGATTCTTTGCAATTAAAGCAAGATGGTGAAGATGGTACAGAACGGCTTCTTACCTTGACGCAGAGAAACATAAACCTTGGTCCTTCAAACATGTTTTCACTGATCCTTATTAGCTCGTTCACTCTCTGGTGTGATCTTTGGTGTGGGTGGTTTGTCAAGACTACACCCTCCCACCCACATGCCCACAGCCTAAACTACTGTTCTGCCATAATGATTAAAAAATGTAAACATAGGTCTTTCCGCTTTCGACAAAGTGCCATATGCAAAGCATCCTGTAGCTTATATAGATAATACAAAAAACTAAAAGTGCATCTGTATTTCAAATCGTAACAGACATCCAATATATAACACTACAAAAGTACTGTATTACAAAAGTACTGTGCGTATTGCTTTCAACTTTTAAAGCACCAGCTCAAACTCCAGTCTGCCTGCACTACTCTATTCCCTTCAATCTACGGGAAATATGGTCTCGGTAACTGGAGAAAAAGAAGTACGGAAAATGAAGAACTTCTTCACATGGAATCATTCAAATGAAGGAGCATCACGCCCTGATTTTGTCACAAAGAAGGACTGAAACCCCAAGACAAATGAAATTCCAATTACGTTCAGATGAAAAGAAATGCATTAGATGCATTATTGCAGAGCAATTATGAAGCATCATCTTTTGATTGGAAATACAGGTTTGGTTCTCTAAATTCACATTAGAGGAAAAATAATACTGAACTGAGGGCGAAATCTTCAACCCATTTTACCATCAGTGCACAGGCAGTTCACTCATTCACTGATTAACACTTGTGTCTTGGTGAATGATCAGGATTTCACTGCATTCATCTCCCTCACTCTGAACAGGAATGAGTCTTTAACGCTCTTCTCTGCTCAGCGACGGAAGGAAATTTGGTTTGATTGTAAGATAAAAATCCATTTGGAATGATTGGAGTGTTTATACAGCATGAGGATCAACCCACTTGTAAGTTCCTCCGTAGTGGAATCCTACCCGCTTCAACAGTTCATCAGCTTCCTTGGGTCCTCGGCTGTTGACAGAGTGAAAACTAATTTAAGGCCAAGTCATAATATCTCAGCATTGAATTTCACTTTTTCTGCTACTGTAAAATGACGCCACCATAAGTGATAACACAGGGCTGCGTGATTTTTAACTAAATGGGAATTAAGTTTTTTTTTGGTTACAGACATTAACTCATACTGAATCTCATGCTTTCTGCTGATAAGTCACAGCTCTTGCCAATCTGAGTGACTGTGGACAGTGAACCGAGCAGTTTTTAATGAAAAATCAGGGCAGCTGTATGATAGCACTCATGTACTGAAATATACTTCCTAATTAAACTGACTTATCCTTGGTGAGTAGACGTCTTACCTCCCGTATGTGTACGGCATGGGCTGTATCCTCTCTGCCTCAATCTGATGGAGGAGAGGAGTGAAGATTCTCCAGGCTTCCTTCAGTTCATCACTGACAAAAACAGGCAAACATACACAACACAATTCAGAATGCACTCCAAAGTTCAAGATACAGTTCTGATGTGGGGTGAAACTGTGCTAAAGGAGACCCACCTACGTACAAAGTGCATCTGACTCCCACTGAACACGTCAAGAATCAGACGCTCATAAGCGTCAGGAAGCTTCACATCCTGTACGAGGGTTAGACAAGGGTTAGTAGACTTTCAAACATAAACCAGCTTTACAGGGCATGGTTAATGAGCAATCCTTAAAAACAATGCCAACGCTTACCTCTTACAGCAAAGGCCAAAAAGTGTTCAAAATCTGCTCATTTTGTTTTGTGCTAGGAGGCTACTGTAACTATATATACAAGTTGTTCAAAAAGAACTGGGAAAAAAAGAGAAATGAATAACAATGTGAAAAAAAGTACTTAAGTATTCACATCATTCAGGCCAGTTCTATGATTTTTTTTTTTTTTATGATTTTTAATGTACATGGTTAAAATGCATAACCATAGGTCAGTAGTACTCTTCAAAACATCATGAGACATTTGTTTTGAGATTAGGTTTTGGCCAAACATTTTTCAAAACCCAAGACCCAAAGAAAACTTGTTATGGATTTACCACTATTTTATCATAATCAACATTACACATAAAAACATTGCAGTTTCACTGGTCATTATGGAGAGCAAATAACATGGATATATTTGTGCAGACACTGCAAAACAACGCTACGTTTCTCTACAACGCACCATTTCAAATCAAACCACTCTTAATGACTTTGTTAGCATCTCAAAATCAGTGGAATTCCTCTTTAACAACTTGACATGGTTTTGAGGCAGGCGTGCAATGATTTAGCTATGGAGTTTTGGTGGTGTTTGAGGTTCCATTACTTGGTTTGCTACTACTGTAGCCCTAGTGCACTTTCAGCAGAGGTGACAGTCAGCAGAGGGACAAAGCACAGTGATATGACGTGCAATTTGCAAGAAGTGTCATATGAAAACAAAATACCCTGGGAATACAACCAACATGAGGGCTCACCTCACATGCCACTATCCAGAGACAGCATTAACAGATAAGGCAAATGAGGCTGAACTTGGCTTCTTATTTGCCAGCTTCTTGTTCGTATCTTGTTAAATTTTTTTAATTATTATTCAAATAAGTGTTGCTGCATTTAAGGTGGAACGGGAAAATTTGGACAAGAAGTGGGTGAATATAAAGCTGACTTTTGCTCTGTTTAGCCAAAGTGAAATCAGGTCCACCGAAAAACCAAACAATGAACACACTTAGCCTGAGAAATATACCTTCCAATTTTGAGCGAGCTAAGAAAATAACATGATCCATCACCTATTTCATGTGCAAAGACCTGCGTCCATACACTGTGAAAAACGAAGGCTTTTGATGCATGGTCAAGACACTGGAACCGAGGTATGTGACTATGTTTCTTCACCAACACAGCTGTACCCAAGCTCTACAGAAAAGTTTGAAGTTGAAGAATCCCTGAGTACAGCAGAAAGGATTGCAATAACTCGCGATGCATGGATGTCAAGGGCAGTGGATTCCTATGTGACTATAACAGCGCAGTATCTCGCAGAGGACTGGCGACTGCTATCTTACATTCTTCAAACAAGAGCAGGGCACGAAAGTTACACCAGGGCAAACATTGCAGACCTCCCAGTGGTTATATAATAATAAATAAGGTAATAAATTGCAACAAATGGTATCGCATTACTCAGCAGATCGCAATATTATTGTATCGTGACTTAAGTATTGTGATAATATTGTATTGTGGGACCTTTGGTAATTTGCACCCCTAATGCCTACCATAGAGTATGAACTACATATTGTACTAAAACTACATGTGGCACTACTATGATTACACATAAAAATCATTAGAAAATTGAATAATAATTATAAAAGCAGTGAGGACTGTGTAAGTATGATTAGTCTTACCTTATATCTGCTGCGGTAGGTCAGATCCAGCTCAGTCTCCTCGGTACTGAAGTACATGCCTGGCTTTTTGGTCATCATTTTGGCATAAATGGCCTCATCAGGCTGTACACGGACTACCAACTCATTCCTCTGACACTGGGAGTTAAAGATGTCCCCTGGAACGTCTGTAAACTGCAGCCTCACTTCAGCCTTACGCTCGTTTAGGGCTTTACCACAGCGCAGGACGAAGGGTACCCCTACACAAAAAGAGGGTCAGAAAGAAAAAAAGGTGATAAGAAGCAATGGTACATTACACATTATGCATCGTTACACCATTAACAACAAAGCCTGCTCACCTTCCCAGCGCTCGTTATGGACGTAGAGCACTGCAGTGGCAAAAGTGGCTGTGCAGGATCCTTCAGGAACGGTGGGGTCATTCAAGTAGCCCAGCTTAGCCTCTCCTTCCCCTTCAGGGTTCCCCACGTACTGTCCCAGCACCACATCAGACAGAGCCACTGGAGCTATGCACTTTAACACTTTTACCTCAAGATCGAGACAAAAACAGACATATTTCAATTAGTGTTATTGACGAAATTATCCCGTTAACGCTAGAGAAAATGTTGTTAATGCTCTTTATTTATAGCACGCACATCTCCTCCAACACCCGACCCAGAGAGATTAAGCCTCCTTTTTGCTTTTTTGTTTAATGCGTTATGGTGCTGATGCAATACCTTCTCATCTCTCACATCGTCAGAGTCAGTGGAAGTAGGTTTCTCCATGGCAACCAAGGTGAGCATCTGGAGTAGATGATTTTGCATGACATCACTGAGGAAAAAAAAGAGAGTGTGGAAAGAGAGGAATAACAAAGCCAAGAATAACCATATGTAAAAATATCTCACTGTTGATTTTTTAGGTGTGGTCCAAACAGCATTTTACAGGCTTTGAATATTCATGGGTATTTCTATTTGAGTATCCCAACATTCCCCTCTTAAAACAATAATAATGTACTACAATTACACTTCATGACTAAATATTCAATAAACCAATATGTTCGTTACTGCAGTTCAAAATATATCCATTAGGCGGCAATAATGTATTAATAGTATATACCATATATTTGACAAAAGAACTCAAAAAAGAGAATAGAGAAAAGAATACCATTGTAAAAAAAAGAATACTTAAGTATTCATATGACACACACAAGATTTTTCTAATGTACATGGTTAAAGTGCATAATCGAAGGTCAGTAGACTCTTCAAAACATCTCTTCAGAACAGTTTGTAAACACATGAAAATATGAGGTGTTTATTCATGCTATCTGCAGTCTTGCATACCATGCAGCAACTTAGTTTGACCCACAGAAGTAATGCTTTCTCACCGGATAATGCCAAAGTCATCAAAGTATCCACCTCTTCCGTTAGTTCCGAAGGGTTCTTTAAAAGTCAGGACTACACAGGCCACGCTCTCCCTATTCCAAATAGGGCCAAAGATTCTGTTCCCAAACCTGGAACCCAGAAACAGTGAGAACCATACAGGCTTAAGTAAATCTTCACCAAACAAAATGAGCGCAGGTGGTGGAAATTGGTCAATAGTTAGTGCCGCCCTGGCTCTGTGATTGGCTGAGAGCCATTCCACCTTATAACCTAGCAATGTTGCACTTAAATAGCACCCCCCTCTGGTGTAATACTGCATACTCAATCAAATGTCGAATGACAGTAACTGGAGACTTTTGCCAATCAATCACTTTCAAAAAGTGCATCACCTGAGTACCATGAGGTTCTGCACCATCTCCTTGCCCAGGTAGTGATCTATCCGGTAGATTTGTTCCTCATTAAAGAGGGAGGAGAGGTGTGCTGACAGCTCCTCTGAGCTCTGCAGGTCCCTTCCAAATGGTTTCTCTACAATCACTCTGGTCCAGCCCCTGCACACAGACACATATAAAAGATTCAGAAACATCACGACCTACATCTCCATCTGGAACGATCATAAAGTTATAAACTCCATCGTACAATTATAAAGGCTGCTGTGCTTTGAATCTGCAAGGTCATGATGTAGATTTCAGTGCTCTCTTCAACTAAAGCCACTCAAGGCCATATGTTAGTGATTTTACAATAGTTGAAGAGGGACATAGTTACAACACTCTTAAAGCTATACTATGCTAGTTTTGTGGAAATGTGTAATTGCACACAGGTGGAAGAACTTTTTGTAACGTAGGTTATGCTTCAGACAACTTCCCTGAATAAAATGAAACCGAGTGCGTTGAAAGAAAACTGAAAACTTGGTGATGGGCGTGTCTTCTGAGGATGGGAGTGAATAATCTACTATTGTCATCCTATCATCAGTATAATGTTGAGTTTGCATCTGAGACCTAAACATTGAGCTAGACCTTTTTTTTGAGCCTGTGCATGTGACGTTAAGGCGTAAGGACGTATAACGCGGGCCGAAAAACTCACACAAAATCTGACCCGACACCTCTGACTTGTAAACGATTATTTCAGGCTTTACAGTGCGACTCATAGCAGCGCACGCACACCATATATTAATGTGTTTTTTTTCCTCCTGACTCAGTAATTCTACATCTTTTACTTTTCAATAGTAATTGCAATAAACAATTTTATTTTACATTGCTAAGCAATGTAGTTTGTTAATACAGGGAACACATTTCTCGTGCAAAAAGTTATGGCACATTTTATACTTTTTTTTTGGCAATATATTAAACTAGTAAATACAAATGTGCACTAAATGTTGCAGAAAAAAAATACCACATTTAAGTTTGCTCCCCATAGATAATTTGTACTTATTTTCACTTTAAAAAAAAATCACCAAAACGTGTAATTTGACTGAGGGTGTTCAAACTTTTGCACACAACAGTATAAAGTGACCTGAGCGTAACACAGGTTAAAACTCCAAGGATGCTAGTTGCTAATGCTAGCTGTCTCATATTCTTCAGGCCAGTGGTTTCCAAGTATTTTATCTTGGGGGTGTCAAGATGCAATGTTTATGGTGGGCCAGGTTTAAAATAGACAAAAAATATACACATAAAGAAGGAAAGCAGTTTTGAGATTTTATAATATTACACAATATTTTGTAACAAAAAATATTTTGAAACAGAGAATAAGAATTTAATCAGTTATAAATAGTATAAAAATATGTTTATTCTCTCCAAGAGTGAGAGGGTGGGGTTAGGGAAGCTTTCTGGGACGCCAAATCGAATGTCCTGTGAGTCATAGTTTAGGCGGCTCTGTTTTAGCTATATAAGCAAATAAGATGATAGGTTTTCTAATGACTAATATGAATTAGTGGTAGTGAAAGTCTTTAGTTAGTGAATTTCCCAATTGCTATACTTCAGCTGAACATTTGTTGTCATTCTGCTGTCCTCTGCAGAAACTATGACAGAGCTTTTTATTATTTATTTCTAATAAGAAAAAATTCGCATTTATTACTAAATCGGCTGTGGATACATAACTCTACCTCAATTAAGGCCGCATGTTATTTTTTTAATTTGTACTAATATAGTCTTTTCTCAGTGGCCATAATAATGTGGTACTGTATGTGGGCACTGACTCATCACTCATGCAGTGCTGGCGGACGTTCTTGGTGACATCATTGTAGACAGTGGGCGGCAGGGCCAGATAGAATAGACGGTTTGCAGCAGTTCCAGGGGCCAAAGAGTCCAGGTGGCTCTGAAGCTGTGCAAACGACTCTCCATCTGTGTACCGCCCAGCCAGGTAAGAGTTTCTATTGAAAAACGCTGACAGACGCTCGCTGTCCTCTTCTTTTACCTGATAAGACACATGAACACTAAGTGGTATATTGATTAGACATGTATTTTTCAAGCAGCAGCAAACTAAAAGAGCAGTCTTATTATCTTTTTTGGGCCTGAGTTGCTCATTCACATCTCCAACATATGATAATAACCTGTAGAATACTGGTTTATCTCTTGCTAAAGAGAAACGTTAAACCATTACCTTCATGTAAGGTAGACAGGAGGCACGAATGTCATCCAATGTCAGGCGAGAGCGAGCAAAGCCCACAAAGTGTGTCTCCTCTGGAAGGAGTCTGTCCTTAAACAGCCACCTTAAAAACAGGATTTGATAATTAACTAGGGAACACACACACAGACAGACATGCACACACAGATGCATGCAGAGACTCACCACAGCGTGGGGTAAATCTTCTTCTTGGCAAGGTCTCCCTTAGAGGAAAGGAAAGAATATACATATTATTTGCCTACAGTGCCTTAAAACTGTTAATTACACTGAAATGTTCAGTTATATCACACAGTGCAGAATATAGGTCAGTGAAGAGCTGAGCCTTGCTCACTAAAAAAAAATCTCTTGACACTTTAATATGGGCTTAACTGGAGTTCACAGGCAGGTTTGGGATGACAGAATACAACAATTGGGAATATGGATTCAGAATACAGAAATTATCTATATTCAGTACAAGTAACATTTTGTAAGGACAGTATTCAAAATACTGTTATACATTTTTATGAGAATACTTTTAGAATACTCACTAAATTAAAAAAAGATAAATGCTTGTTTATTAACTATTTTAACATCAGCGCATGGCATCTGTAGCAAACATGCTTGTTGCACGAATTTTAAAGAGGATCTTCATTAACGGCTTCTTTACAAACACTGATATTACTACTAAAGCCTGAGTAGACTGATAAATCAAGGGATAAGTCAGTTATTAATCTCAGCATCCCTCACTTTTTGGAGTGATGACCAAACTAATAATGTCCTCAGTAGTGGACATGTTTGTGAGTGATAAGCTTAGCAGTGGGGTTGTTCTGCACTCTTGCTCGGGGGATTACTGGGGTTAGCAGTGAACTGAAATAGGAAAAAAAAAACCTGAGGAATTTTGGAACTTCATTTAAACAATAAATTAATTTTTCATGAAACATTAACAGAATAATGACATGAAAAAAAACTGTAAGGAACAGTGAGGAACAGTGTTATTTAAGTAAAAATAAAAAAGATTTTCTGATCAATATGTTTTCTAAATGTTTTCTGAAAATGTTACTTCTTCATTTATGGTAAGGGAATAGGTTACTAAACACATTTAGGGCAGTGTGTTCAGTATTCAGCCATCACGTTTTCAAAGTGTTTTCCTAACCCTGTTAACAGGCCATGCAGAATGAGTATGCAAAATGGAGAATAAAGGCACTTTTGTTCCACACAGAACTCATGTTACAAAACCCTGGGCATGTCAGTCATGCAAGTTACTCTGTTTATGTTTGACACACCTCATGTAAAGGACAGCAGGGGAGTGAAGCAGTAAGGAAACACTGATAATGTGACAAGTGTGTGTAGGTATGGAATGAGTCTGTACAGGATTACGAGGCTAAAGTTGGTTTCCTGCTCAAATTGTCCGTTCCACCTTAAGGGTGCAGCAGTTCCATTATCCAGCAGTTACTGCCGCTCCATTAGCTGCTGCACGATTTAAGGTGGAACGGGGAATTCGACTAACAGGAAGGCGAATATGAAAGCCAATGTCAACTTTACGCTCAGGTTTAGGTGCCAAGCCTGCCTGTGCTGTGAAGCGCAGCGTAGCCCGGTAATAAATGACTAAATGTAGAAATAAAAGCTCTTACCGAAGCACCCATAATGACAAAGACGTGAGGAACCTGACGAAATTCATCATCATCATACAGCTCCCTCCTCAGCTGCCTGAACACCTCAGACCGAGTCCGAGACAGCGGATTTATAACGTTACTCATACTCGCAGACGAAGAGGGGAAAACTTAAAACAAAGACTAATGTAACATAGGTTTAAGTTAACCCAAGTAAGGTTTAAAGGAAGCGGAAGATGCGAAAATGTGAGTTAAACATAGAAAAGGAGTTAGCGAGTTAGCTAAGCTAACCGTCCTGCTCTTTCATAAGGAGCTGATTAAACACTTCAGTGCAAAGCCAGCGAAAACGGAGCTAATCTTCGCAGACAGCCGCCGCTGGTTTTACCCACTGAGGATTTGTCTGATAAGAGTTAGCAAGCTAACAACTTGCTAACACCGGCATGGAAATCCGTCTCGCCTTTTCGTGAGATATTTCCAGTTAATACTCAAGGACGTTACGCGAAACGAGCAGCCGAGCACGCGGAGTCAGTGTTTTACCTGACAATAAACATGAACAAGCATCGCTAGCGGTGTGCGATTCGTCAGGGTATCGTTGTTTTGAACCGATTCCTTTCAGTAACTCGGTCGAACCGGCTCACGAGATGATTTCAGATTCGAAATGTTTTGTAGAAACGTTAATGTACTGTTCTGTATGATCATTACAGTCTTTCACAATTTCCCCCCATACAGTCACAGCACAAAATACATGATAACGTTTCCCCTCGTGGTCTTCAGACTGTAGCTGGATTCCTCTTTCTGAGAACGTGGATTCCGAGTACCAGTGAATCCACAGGTGGCTTCTGGGTTTTTTATGTAATGTTAAGTAATGGTAAATCCAAATAAATAAATAAATACATACATACATACTCTTTGAGGACTATTTTTCTCTTACAACACTCTGCACTGTAAATTTAGCGGAAAGTATTAGTAGTATGAGCCTTGTACCTTGTTTGAAAACACGCTGCTGCCCCAAAAAGATTCTCACCATATTAAAAAAAAAATGGAAAGGGGTGTGTCCCCCCTGCCCTCTCTTTGAATTTGCACCAACGTCTCAGACCCTCAGTCCCATACCTCTTTAATTTAGTAACTTTCTGACTAAATACCATCTGAACCATTTTATTACGCAAACATTTTAAAATATTGGTGGATTTCCCCTTCAATGAGTAACTGCAGTATCTGACTCACTGGCTGAATCGAAAGTTGATTTTTGAGTCAGGGCATCGCTGACTCGGAGGTTCGATTCATTGGAACGGAAGGAATCGGTTGAGTAAAGTGAATCAATCCCCATCGCTAATCGCTACAAACAGACCGCGTGGTGAAGTCCTCGCTGACTCAGTCAGACTTTCTAGCCAATAGGATTGGCGTGGCGCGCGCTGAGGGCTGCGTCATTCAAAGATTTAATTGAGGTCATGCAAACTCAGAATTATGCATGTAACGCAAAGACCTTCAAAATTCCCTGTGAAAGTCTGTTTTTTAAGAGAAAGCGTAGGCTGCCATCTGTCGCTCCTGGCTGTATAATGAGCATTGCGGTTTTAGGCGACGTTGTTGCTGCCAATGTCACTGACAGCAGAACTGCTCCTCAGCCGGCTTTTAATGCGTTTAAAGGGCCAATATCCTCCATTTTTTTTCTCTATAATTTTTTCCCCATCTGAGCTCTACTTATGACGTTTGTGTGCTTTTATGTACCTCAAACAGTCATGATTAACAATTAATTTATACAGGACCGGTTTCCAACCTCTCTATAGGCTTTAGAATTACACAGGAAGTTTTTGTTACTGTGCCTTTAAGACTGATTCATGTAAAAGAGCTCTGATCTGATTGGCCACCCTGTGTTCATAAAGTAGTCCAATCTGAAACACTCTTTAAAAGGTCAGAGTCAATTGGAGGGGCTACACTGCTGTAGATGGGTATATATCAATGCATTGGTTTCCATGACATCACAAAGTTGGTGTATTCAAAGCAGCCTGTTTTTGTAATTTATTTTCATGTTTGGACAGGGGGAGTGAATGATGTTTTAAAACGTACCATTACATACATAAATACATACATACATACATGAAAACCTTTTATTTTAAAAAAGTGAGGGAAATTTAATTTTCCATGTTATGGGCTCTTTAAAACTCTTCACATTCAAACCAACCTGCAGAAAAACAGAGAGGGACATCTTTGTTGTAAATTAACCAAACACTGACCAGGTTAAAGAGTTGCCTAGTGCATCTACTCCTTCATTTCCTTATTTATTAACCTCATCTAAAACAAAACTGCCTCCACATTGTTTACAGTGCTCATACAGGATATTTTAGGAAAAATATAGAAAATAAAAAAGGCCACAAATCATTGGCATTTATTAAAACAAAACAAAACAAAAAAACCCTTAATTTGTTCCACCAGTAAAGAAAAACTGCACCCTCTCAGTTACAGGGGAGAACAGAAAAGTCATATGGGATCTTTAACTATAATAATAAGGACAAAAATATTCATTTTTTGACTTATTTCACAAGTAATCTGCCCAGTAGAAGAGTTAAGAGACATTTCCATTAGATTAACATGATTTCTCAGCTTTACTTAAAGGGGAATTCCACTGCTTTTCAAAACATCTGCATAATTTAATCTTTAAGACATAAACAAAACCATTCAGAGCGGTTTATTGTGAAATGATCCACAGTAGAGAAATGCACTAAATACTCTGAATTGCTCACAGTGGAGGTGATAGGAACCAGACGTCTGAAGTGTTTAATGCCTCTAAAAGCTCCCTCAGAGACAGCTGTTAAATGAAATGGTTATGAATACGCTGCCTGAGGCCTGACATGGTTTTACAATTTACACGTTTTTAATCTATACAGGGCAGCAAGGTACACACAGGGCAAAATAGTCCTCAAAGAATATTATGGTTTTTTGGATTTACCACTACTTTACCATCATCAGCACTGCATATGAAGACTCAGAAGACACTCACAGGTTCCTTGGTTGTTTTGGATAATAAATAAAATTGCTATATTTGTGTTGTAAATAAGAGTCAGCAAGTTTCTCTACAATGGAGCGTTTCATATCAAACTATTCTGAATGACTTTGTTTACATCTCACCTTCAAATTCTAAAAAAATTGTGGAAAAAATAAACGGTGGAATTTTAACTGACCAACTGAAAAATCTCACTTCACAAAACTCTCCACTGGATTCTGATGAATAGATAATTTAACCTTGGCTTGTGGCAAGGTATGATTCTGTATAACTAATTCTTTACAACTAAATTATTTTATGACATGATATCTACAGTGTCTTGTTGGCAAGATAAAGACCATTTGCCTTGTCTACAATAATTCGAAAAATATTTCCTTCTCACAGACTTAAAAAATAAAAATATAAATAAAATGGTCAGTGTCTTTAAAAGCAGTAGTTTGGACAACATGAAGGTTGATACCACACACCGAGCCACCGCATGTAAACAATACTGCCGCCAGGCGAGTCGCTCCCATGCTCCGTTCACTTTTAGAGATGGCGCCTCTGCTTGTCTTCCCTGAGTCACATATCACCACATTCATAGTACGCAGGTCTTTGGTTGTTCCACTGCATGGATATAAACTATCCACTCTGTGTCAGTTCACTCAGACAATGAGTGAGCTACAGTATGTATTTAAGCATATGAGCTTGAGTTATAGCTGTCCTTTCTTTGGGGTCTATTGGGTGTAGATGTCCTTGCTTGTCAGGTGGACTGAAAGAGAGGTCAACTGAACACCCAGCGCTGGTGAAAGTCTTCTGTGTTACAGGGGCTCATGATTATCTGGTTATCCTTCAGGTGGAGGCACTTATCGGAGGACGGGTTCTTTAATAGCTTCTCCTAGAATCAACAGAAAAACAGTAAAGAATATGAAGGTGTTAGGCAGTTACCATAATATTCAATAAAGTGTGCACTCATTTTGTGGCAAATATCAAATTTGCATGTTTGAGACAAATGACTTAAGAAATTCAACAAAGCTAAAGTTGGCTTGTTATTCGAAATTTACATTCTACCTTAAATTGTGGCCAGGTGCCAGAATGTAACTGCTGCTACATTTAAGGTGGAACTAATACTTCAAAAAGCCCACAAAGTGATGCCAGAAATAAATATTGAGCTAGGTTTATCTATGTATTGTTCAGATTTGTTTTTACTATAATGCACAATAAAAAATTACTTCAGATTTGGTTGTTAAAAATGATTATTACTAAAGTGAAAGGACATCCCAGAATAATAAGCCACATATATATTTTTTGCCCATAGTGCCAACAACTACTTGGTCTATCATTTTTATTGTACCACAGTATAAATAGTTAAATCATTCTTAGTCACATCTGTGTATTCAGTGGATTTTTATAGAAATCCAAACTGAGCTTTTTTTTACCTTGTTAGTTCATGTCCTTGGTCATATTAATCATATTCATTCATCATACCCGTTCAAAGACAAAATTCTCATAGTCTGTAATCTTTGATCCAAGTGTAGTGACCTTTGGCTACCTTGAACATGTTTTCTGGGTTTTTTTTATTATGGCATCAGCACCAGCACACGTGGAAAAATAATATTTACCAGTAAGAACACCTTCCCCTTTCACTACCCTCACATATCCTCAATAAAAAAAAAAAACACTCCGCTAGCTCAGAAACTCTTCCTGATTCCATGTTTTACTCTGAAATACATCATGGTATGAAAGGAAAATATGTTGGGAATGTGGTATTTTAGAAACATTACACTGGAAAATATGTTTTCCCCACTTATTATTAAAATAACTGAAGAGAATCAAGATTTTATCAGGTGCTGAATTTTTAAAGAATCATATCTGAATGAAATCTATATGAGGTCAGAGATCAATGCTGCATTCCACTGTACTCTGTAGTCAGATATGCAATCTAAATGCATTCCAATGATTCTTCTTGGAAAATCAAGCACACAAACCAATGTTTGTCTGGTAAGTCATGGATTTTGATTCGCATTTTATAAAGCCCTACATTAACTACTGGGGGGCAGTTGTGGGCTGGAGATTAGGGAACCAGCCTTGTGACTGGAAGGTCACTGGTTCAATCCCCTCAGCTGACAGTACATGACTGAAGTGTCCTTGAGCAAGGCACCTAACCCCCAAATGCTCCCCGGGTGCAGTGGATAGGGCTGCCCACCAGTCCGGGCAAGTG